AGTAGGTCACTTTAGGTCAGATGTCTAAATTATGGAGATTCTGTGTGTATGTGTAAGTGGGATGGGCAGGGGTGGAAAATAACCTTTTTCTTTTTGCAAGCCTGCTCTCTGGATTTGTTTTTCCAGTTATGAAATAATCCATGTAGCTTTTCTGGTCACTTTTTGGTACCAAAACTATTTTTCTCGGTATTAAAAAGCTCACACTAGTGAAACATCAAAATGCCAAACTCTCACTTGAAAAAGTAACTCCCGCTCTTTCTCAGGCCTTGTGGGTGGGAAGCCTGAAGACAGGTATGTGGGCAACCAGTCTTTCTCATCCTCCCTCCACCTTCTATCCTACTCAAGAGCTGTTTCTCATCTGTGTGGAGGGGAGGGAATTAGAGAAAAGGATCCTACTGTACCCAGCTGTTGTAGTTGACAGTGGGACCCGGTGGTGGAAGTGGGTAGGGAGTAGCGTGGGGACTGGCTTTCTATCCTGGAGTAGACCCTGCTAAGAACCACAGCTAAATTCTCTGGCTTGGCGGGCAGCTTGCAACCTCTTCTGCCTCAACAGCTTCTACACCATATGGCACATAGTTGCTGGGTACCTTGGTTCCAGGCAGGAAGCCCATCTGTGCAGAATAATTTTCAAGATAGCTTATGGTCTGTCAGAGTGACCATCTGATACATCTCAACCCTATCAATGGTGGAAATACCCTCTTGTTAGCTTCCATGGGCCTCTTCCGGTATGTCTTACCCTAGAACCCTTTCTGGCAACAGTCACCATCTTTGTGTTCCCCAACATCTAAAGATCACAAGCTCAGGGTCTAAAAGTAGTTCATTTGAAACATACCCCACTGGGTTGAAGAAGGGAAGCTTTCAACTCATTCTATGAGACCAAAACCAGACAAAAACATAATAAGAAAACTATAGACTACTATATCAGATGCAAATATTCTAAATAAAATACTAGCAAACCAAATCCAGCAGCAAAGAACAAGGTTTATGTAGCATGAACAAGTGGAATTATCTCAGGAATGCAAGGTTGGTTCAATATACAAAATCCATCAATATAATACAACATATTAACAGAATAAAGGACAAAAACTACATGACAATCTTGATACAGAAGTATTTGACAAAATTCAATACCCTTTTTTTGATAGTAACACTCAACAAACTAGATATAGGAGGGAATTTTATCAACCCCAAGCATCTATGAAAAATCCACAGCTAACATCATATTTAATGGTGAAAGACCGTGCTTTCCCCTGTAAATCAGAAACAAGAAAAAGACATTCGCTCTTACCACCTCTATCGAATATTTTACTGGAAGTGCTAGGCAGGGCACTTAGGCAAGAAAATGAAATAATAAGAATCCAGATTAGAAAGGAAGAAGTATTTCTATTCACAGATGCATGATTTTGTATACAGAAAATATGGAGGAATCAAAAAAATATATAATGAGTTCAGAAAAGCTACAATATACAAGATTATACAAAAATCAATTGTATTTCTAGACAGTAATAATAATCCAAAAATGAAAATTAGAAAATTTTATCAGTATCAAAAAGAATAAAATACTTAGAAAAAAATTAACCAAAGAGGTCAAGACTAGCACACTAAAATCTATAAAACATCATTGAAAGAAACTAGATACCTAAACAAATGGAAAGAAAATGAAAGTTTGTGGATTTAAAAACTTAATACTGTTAAAACAGCAATATTCCTCAAATTGATATGGATTTAACACACTGCCTATCAAAATTCCCGCTGCCTGTTTCACAGAAATTCACAACCTGATTCTACAACTCACATGGAATGCAAGGGACCCAATATAGACACAATGATCTTAGAAAGAAACAAAGTTGAACACTCCCCCCCCCCCAAATCCAAAACTGACTGCAAAGCCACAGTGATTGCGACAACATAGCACTGGCCTGAGGACAGGCACATAGAGCATGGAGGAGACTCAAGAGCCAGAAATGTAAGTCCTATACTGATGGTCAAGTGTTTTTGGGCAAGGGAGCCAAGATCTTTCTGGGGAAATGCAGACTTTTAATTGGTGCTTGGACAATTTGATATTCACGTACCAAAGAGTGATGTTAGCTCACAAAAATGTACCATATGCAAGAAATGCATCAAACAAGAAGAAGCTTCAGTGAACATTCTACTGCATGCTGGGTTGTTTTCAATCATTCAAGTAGTAACACTGAAAATCTAGTGGAAAGATGGAGGCAATCTTTTTTAACAAAGTTACTACACATCTACCACATGTAGAAGGCAAAGATAAGAAAAAAATGACACTCCATCACGAACTTACAATCCAAGCAATGGTTATGTAGGAAAAAAAAAAAACTAACTAAAAAAACAGAAGTTTCATTAGCAAAATGAAAATGTGGAAAAGATCTAAATCAAGAGCAGGCCCTGACACACTCCATAGGAATTCCAGTGACTCCTCACTGTTCAAATAAGAAACCTGACCACCATGCTGTGCTACCACAGACACACTGGATGCACGTCAGGGGTGATAATGTCTTTATGGGCGAGGTACTTTAAAGATTTGGTCTGGAAGAGAATTTGAGAATAAAATAATTCAGCATGACAAGTGAAGATGCAGGGAGGGGGACGCGGGGAGAGGGTGAAATTGGGAATGGAGGTGAGACCTAGTCTATGGTGGGTGCTCCATGCCAGACTTGGAGATTTTATTCAAAGAACAAGTTTGGGGGCAGAGGCTATTACAATGAACAAAAATGTATTTTATCAGAATAAAAAGTATTAAAGAGGAGAATAGAGTCAGGGAGTGGTTAAGAAGCTACAAAGAATGTCCACATGAAATCAGAGGATCAGGGCCTGAAGGGAAGTATAATGAAAGAGAAGCGATGGGAGAGACTTGAGGGAAAACAACTGACAATATGTGACAAGAATTGACAACCTGAGGGATGAGAGATTTTGATGATTGGGATGAAGGCGACACTTTTAAAGAAAGGTCAGTATAGATGCAAAATGCAGAGTTTCATTTTCAGTACTGACTTTGGAGGTACCAGATAGGTCTGAGCAGGATATGAAATTGGAGAAGAATGTCTGGGAAGGGCTGAAGTTGACCAGAGAGAACTGGACAAGTACAGGTAGGAACTTTAAGTAGAGCTGGAACAGTACCCATCCAAGATTTGGATGAGGTGGGATGAAAAAAAGCAGAGAAGCTGGAGCCTAAGTGTAAGGTATTGCTATGATTAAAGACAGAAGTTACTAGGTGATGAGTATTCTTGAGGAGAACACTGTCAGTGAAACAGCACTGGATGAGCAGCCTTTCACATAGCAAAATCCACCCACACCCGCATCAAAATCTTGCTATGATTAACAGACACCAACCCATGGAATTTGAACAGGAAAGGGAAAAAAGGTTTAGGGCTCTGTACTTACAAAACCTTGTACCCTCCCAAGGCAATTCTTTGCACAATAAACTGTGGGGTAAAAGGAGACAAGAGGGGAGCAAGTGGAAGCTGTGTTTTGGGGTTCTCCAGGGGCCCAGAAATGGATGTGAAGAGTAGAGATAATCCTTAGATGAAGGCTGGTGGAAGCACATAAGGGGATCAAGACTAAAGACAGCATAAGCTTAGAACTATAGTTCTTCCTCTTGACATTCTGCATGAAATTTTTTGGAAAAAAAAAAAATCCTAATTCCTAAAATGTACCTGAAATCCCAGCACAGCCATGTTCTATGGGAACAGGGAGTGATTAGTGTCCAATTACAACCATGTTTCTTTCTAATAAGATGTCTGTGCTGACAGGAATCAGCCAATTCTCCATTTGAAGCCTCATTTTCAAGTTCCTTTTTGGTATGTATTTTCCCTACAGAGGCATATATCCCAAAATAAAGCTAAAGAAACTGTAATTGGATTTTATCCCCCAATTAAGCACAGCCCAGGAAAGCAGGGTCAGGACATCCATCTCATTTGGTAGAGCTGCCAGAGTCCAGAAAACTTTGGCTGCAGGCTGTTTTTGTTTGAAATGTTCTATAATCATGAAAGGTAATATACGTAGAAAGTTTATGTTTATGGGGAAAGCCAATTACTTTAGTTTACGGTTCATTTTTCCCCTCCAGAGCTTCTTGGAGATGGAGATTGCGAAACAATTCAAAGAAAACCAAACTATATAAGAGACTATCTGGCCCAAAGCTCTTGTAACATTTGGGGTTCAGGAGCCACTGAAGTAAAAATTTATATTGTTTCCCACTCCCTTAAAGTATAGGTCAGTAACAATCTAGCAAACAACAGTGAAAAGGCAACACAGCTGAGAGAAGGGAGTGAGTTGCCTGGTGTGCTGAGCAGGGATGATGTGCAGCTCTCCATTTTTTCTCTTAGAATTTTAAGGGAAGGTTTATTTTTGACTCTTTGTCAAAAGTCTATTTGATGTGAATTCTGTATCTGATAACCTATCTCAATAATCATTTAAAGAACTTTTCATACAGATACATTATTACAACTGTAGAACTTAAATACTGTAGTGATAATAAAACTGGAGAACTGAAGAGCACAAATTTCTTCACGAATTTATTACATAAAACGCCCCCAGAGTATTTAATTTTCTTCTCACTTTCATTATACACAAGAAGCACAGTGGATGAGAAGCCTTTTAAGATGACTACAGTCGCATGAAGGTCCCTTGCAGCAAGGCAGTGTACGTACCTTCACAGTGCTCTACAATTGGCCAAAAAACCTCATGTTCTCTTCTCACAATACAAAGGCATTGTCTTCTTTCTCCACTAAATTATGGTGAAAAATGCCACTGTTTTATTTAGCATTATGGTACATAACAGTTCTGTCTCATTTCCTAAAAGAATTAAAATAATCCTGAAAGACATCCATTTTCCCCTCCAATGATTTGAAAGCTATATTTTTCTTGTCAATTTCAAACAAATCATCAGGTTGATGTACAGTAATCAGTTAAAACAATCATCAAGGCACAAGCTCAGCACATCAGCCACAGCTTGCACTAAAAGGATATATCAATGTCTCTCCTTAGTTAAAAATACATAATCCTTTTATTTTGTAATGCAATAAAAGAAATTAACATCACAGACACAGAAGACTAGGAAAGGGGAAACTACTTACTTCTGAATATCCAGTAATTTAAACCTATCTGTACTTCCCCACAGTACATGAAAGCAATCTTTAACACTTTGAAGTAAAATTTAACCTTTGGGGATATACAATGTAATTCTTAGGAGTAACAGTTCCATTCAGTTCCAGGTTGGCTTACTGTATGATTAAGTAGCAGGAGGCACAGTAGCCAGCCTTTCCATCAGGTTGCAACACTGATCACATGCCTTGATAAGATGGCTGCTTAAACAGATGATGGCAACATGAAGGGGAGACTTTGGATTGTCTATTTAAACTCTAGGTAATAAGTAATCAATAAAAAGTTTATCTTAAGTGCACTTTCACATGCTTTTTGTTTATAATAAACAACAAACTTTCTAATGTTGTTGCAATAGGCTTGACTACTATTTCATTTGGCCAAATGCACTTTCCCCAGTAAACTTAAAACAACAACAACGACAACAACAACAACAACAACAACAAAAATCCCTGTCCTTTCATACTAAGAAAGAGGGTTGGCTACTGATACAGTTCACTGCAAGACACATGAAGACAACAGACTGTGGCATGAGTTGTTTTTAATTTGTTGTGCTGTTACTAAAGTAAAGTTCTGAGGGCTGCAGTTAAAACATTCCAAATTCTCCCTTCCATCTTTATTGACTCTCAAGATTTTGCACAGAAAACTCTTTGGGGGCTAGAACAGCAGTAATTGTATCACACTGTTTCCAAGACTTCAAGTTTCAAAAGCAAATCATTAAAAAAAAAAAAAAATACAGTTCCTGATTTGAGTTAGATACAGGGACAAAAAATAGCACATACTTGAAGGTTACATGGTCTACAAATGGTGGCAATATTTTCCTTGGGAGAGTAGTTTTGTTGGTATATATTTTTTAAATACTCAAAAAGGCTCAACCTCAAGCAGTAATAAACACAAGCAAAAGTGATTTAACCCTTAAAATAAATATTCAGAAAACCTCTCTGTACATACAAGTGAAAGAATATGTAACACTTTCACGCAAAAAAATAATTATAATAATAATAAAGGATTTGTTCATATATGTAGCTGAAATCTGCTGTTCCAGCCCACATGTCCCCAATAAAGAATGGAGGCACAGACACAGGTGACTACTGTGGTTCACTATCTTACAGCCTTTTTGTACTGGGACACTACTACCACCAAAAATTTATCCCTCTTGTTATATTTATTAAATTTTTTAAAATTTTTTTTCTTTTTTTTTCTTCCTTCCTTTTTCTGTTTGTTTTGTTTTACAGCATGCCAAATCCTTTGGCATATGTGATGGCCTTCAACAATCTCTCTTTAAGTTTTTCTTTGCTTGAATATTCCGGAAGTAAAAGGACATTAAAGCAAGTATGAGATGTAGGTAACCTAAAGAGAAAGGGGGAAAACAGGAAAATAATAAGTCATGGGAAACAGACTCAGTTAATGCTCCTATTTTACTAAAACAAGATATACAGCTGAGATGTTTCATAATGCCAACTACACATTAATGTAAGTCACAAGGATACGCTTTTTGCTGTATCAAGACTCAGTCTTTCTCTACCCTATAAACCACTCACTGCTGCTGCTGACCCATTACATTACTGGTACATATCAGACAGCATTTTAGGTAACTAGCCCTTGTAGTTCAATGTAACTAAATCTTCTCACAACAAACTTATAGAGTTAGTACTTTAGAGTTGAAGTCACTGAGATGTTAACCTACTCTAAGGTGGAGAAAATACTCAAACCTCGTTTTAAGATGTTAAAATCTGTGCTCTTTAATGCTTTTTGGAAATACACTGGCAATATGACTATAAAAATAAATTAAAATTAACACCATGGTGTATCAAATAATGTAGAATGCTAATAGAAATGCATCAATATATTTAAACCATAAAATATGCTGTTCATGTATGGTCCCTATCAACTCCACAAAATACTGAGTTATATATAATAGGGAGAGAATATAATTAAATACCAAATTATGAAACTAGCATACTCTAATGCTGAACAATCTCCTGGGCCTCACTTAAACATTCTAAATAGATTCTTATATAGTATGGCTTTCAATTAATAAATTGTGAATATAAAAAATAAATGAATCATACTAATTTGAAAGGTTCCAAGCCAAAGTAAACTCCATAATAATTTTTAACTAGGCTAATTTTTAAAAAGTTTCTTCACACAATAACTGCAAAATAGTCTCAACTAACATTTCATGTAATTTTGGAGATCTCTATATAAAATCATAGAAGTGCTCAAAACATATGATGACAGTTCATACATGTTACACAAGGTTTTTGGTAGGTATATAGTCACAACTTACTAATTACCTTTCTGTATCTGGGCCATTTTTGGCTATAATCATCTTTAATTTTCCTAGACCTCCTACAGGCGCTCTGTCTGTGCCTGTTGTAAACTGTAAGAAGAGTCTTTTCTGGTCATCTGTAAATGAATGAACAATTTCCCAGAACTCCCTATTGAGAAAAGATACAATACTGATTTTAGTTCGGCATTCATTATAAATAGCACTCAAATGAACTTATGATTTGTATTAAAGCTGTATTGGGAGATAATCTAAAAGTTATTGTCAGGAACTCTAAAAATTCATTCCTGGTGACTTACGGGGAGTAACTCTACTTAGGTAAATTTATCTTAAAGAAATATTTCTAAATACATAAAAGCTTAGGTTCATCACTACATTATTTACAACAGTAAAAAACTGGGGAACCCTAAGTGTCTCACAATTAGAGATGGTTATATAAATTAGGGTGTGATCACGTGTAGTCAGTAACAAAAGACAAGATCCTATGAACTGAAAAAGAATGAAAGGGATACTGTGAAAAATTAACTCCAGACACCTTTGGGTATACATTTTATCGACCTCCCTCCTGTCCCTTATTTTACTGGTTTATTCATCTCTTACTAAGTTGTTGGGGTTTTTTTGGGGGTGGGGGGTGATACAGATTAAAGACAAAAGAAAAAAAGAATAAAAATTTTTTAAAACCCATACAATTACACACCTAACAGCAATAACACAAAAGTAACAACTTCATTATGAACTAGAACACTACATCAGATAGTGTGTTCTGTGTATGGAGAAGAATTATTCTGATATTTCTGTCATATGCAGTTATTTTAAAATAATGATTTAACCTGCAACATTGCTAAAACCTATGTAGTACAAGCCATGGTACAATGTTTTTGTTATCATGAGTTCTAAAAAACAAAATGCAGGTTCATAAAGATCAATCTTGGCATGCTTGTTTTAAGTAAAAGTTATATATACACTAATTCAGAGCTAAAAACTTTCAAGATTTTAGAAAACTTAGAAATATTTTAGTTATAAAATGTATTTTAATGTTTATTTTTAAAGTTCTTTCCAGAATCTTGACAGAGAACGTCATAGTTCTCAAGTCAGTAAGTATAATGATAATTTTTGACATTTTTGCATTCTATTTTCATTATCAAAATGCTGGTATTTTTATTGATGCACCACCATTATTCTGAGTCTTAGCCTTCTCTAAACTCTTGCTACTTCCCTTCCCTGCCACTCCAATACTCCCTTACCCTCAGTCCTTGCAAACCTACCAGTTACCTAGAAGAAACAGTAAAGAAATACACGGCAATAGGGGATTGGACACACAATTTGCAGGAGCCTCTCTCAGATACTCTTAGTCTGAACATCATCCTCTGGGGATCATGTTTTCTCTCTGGCAACAGAAAACAAGTCTGCTGCAGCACAGAGCCCTCTGCTGCCACAGAAAAGCTGCCCTGCAGTGGGTGGTGATCATGTCTCCTCACACTGCCAAGAGGGCTCTGAGCCTGACTGCACCAGTAACCCCTCAGGAGGCAGACTCAAAGGCACCCCTGAGAAGCTGTTTCTTTGGTCTTAAAAAAAGAAAGAAAGAAAAAATATGCGGGCAGAGCTTGTGGTTAAAAGGAGTAGGATGTCGGCCCCATATATCTGAGGTGGCAGGTTCAAACCCACTACAGCCAAAAACTGCAAAAAAAAAAAAAAAAAAAAAAGCATAAAAATCCTTTGTATAATGAAAACAATTACTGAACAAAATTCTTCTCTTCCTATAAGTGCTATGTTTTCCATTAAAATTTTGAATTAAACAAGAATGCATCTATTTACAAAGCTGAAGAGAAAAAGATTCTAGGTTTTTACATAAAGGTGGAAGCTGCATGGGTTGGATCCTGCTTAATCCCTAAACACCTATAACCTATAGCTGGAGTAAAAATAAAGAGACTGTAAACTCCAAATGTTATGCACATGGAGACAAGAACATTTGAGACCAGCAGAGTTAAGACTTCAGCTCACCTAAGCAGGAACTATGTGGAAGGAGGGGTGGGTCTGCAGAAACTGGCTAGGGCTCACCAGGGAAGGTCAGAGCCCCACCCTAATTGTAAGGGCAAGTTAGAGCACTGGCAACAGAGTGCTTAAAAGAAAGGGCCATGTAAAAGTAGCCAGAACCAGAAATTACAGTCTCAGGAAGTCACCGGGCCTGAAGGGAAGCAGAGGTGTCCCTTGAAAGTAGCTTCTGGCTATAAAGGAATAAAAGTAACTGAAAAAATGGGCTGCTGATTGCAGTGGCTCATGCCACTGAGTGGACTCCCTGAGCTCAGGAGTCAAGACCAGTGTGACCAAGAGTGAGACCCCTGCCTCTAAAAATAGCCAGATTGTGGCAGGCACCTGTATTCTCAGCTACTAGGGAGGCTGAGGCAAGAGAATTGCTTGAGCCCAAGAGTTTGAGGTTGCTGTGAGCTACGATGCCACAGCACTCTACAAAGGGAGACCCAAGTGAGACTGGAGACTCTGTCTCAAAAACAAAAAACAAACAAAAAAAAAGGGGGGGCTCAATTAAGGTAAATGAAACTGAAGAATCAGAAAGTACTGGACCACATAAAACAGAAAAATATATTAAAGGAACTGCCCTTACTGAAGCAACAGAGGAGGATCCATTCAAGGAAGAGACCACTAAGGCCACTCAGATTCTTCCCACTTCCCCCAAGACCTACTAATTGCAGATCCAGGAAAAAACCAACATGTATAAAGAAACATAAAAAAGAAAACACAATTCTGAAGGCTGAATGTGAAAGAAGTCTGGCAATGAGAAGCAAAACTTTCAGGCTGTCTAAAGTACATCAGAAAAATGCAGTCACGAACAATGGGAAATCTATAACACTACATTCCAACATGACTGAAAAACGCAATAGCAGATAGGAAAGAATACCAGTGATCAGAAATACCACACTCAGGCTGGGCGTGGTGCTCACATCTGTATTCCTAGCACTTTGGAAGGCCAAGGCAAGAGGATGGCTTGAGGTCTAGAGTTTAAGACCAGCCTGAGTAAGAGGGAGGCCCCTGCCTCTGCAAAGAATGTATCAGCCAGGCATGGTGGTTCACGCCTGTAGGGCAGCTACTCCAGAGGCTGAGGGAGCAGGAAGGTTGGAGTCCAGGAGTTAGAGACTATAGTGAACTATTATGATGCCACTGCACTCTAGCCCAGGCAAGAAAATGAGACTCTGTCTCAAAAAACAAAAACAAACAAACAAAAACCCCACAATTCAGAGAAAGATGAACAAATATGAAATAGAAATCAGAACACTAAAAAAACAAAAGAAATATGCAAAATTAACTTTGGAAATAAAAGCTTCATTTATTATATAGTGACCAGAGGAGTAATAATATGTCCAAAATTTCTACTGGGGACACAGAGTCTAGAAAAAAATGAAAGAAAGTGAATGAAAGAAAAGTGAAGAGGCCAGGCATGGTGCCTTACACCTATAATCCCTGTACTTTAGAGGTGGAGGCAAGTGGATTGCCTGAGCTCACCAGTTTGAGATCAGTCTGAGCCAAAGAGAAACCCCATCTTTAAAAATAGCCAGGTGTTGTAGTGGGCACTTGGTAGTCCTAGCTACTTGGGAGGCTGAGGCAAGAGAATGGCTTGAGCCTAAGAGTCTGAGGGTGCTGTTAGCTATGACGCTACAGCACTCTACCGGGGGTGATGAAGTGAGACTCTGTCTTAACAACAACAACAACAACAACAAAACTAAGACTGTGAAAGAACTAAATCAGAGATAGAAATTTTCAAAACAAGGGCAACAGAAAGGAAGATTTCAGAAGACATGATAGAAATAAGGAATAATGAAAAGAAAAAAAAATCACGTCAAATACAGTAGAACCTCCATAGTTAACCACCTCCCTACACTATCTCCTTAAACTGACCTAATCTTTTCTTCTTTTGTTTTTTTTTCTCTTGAGACGGAGCCTCAAGCTATCCCCCTGGGTAGAGTGCCATGGCATAGCTCACAGCAACCTCCAACTCCTGGGCTCAAGTGAGTCTCCTGCCTCAGCCTCCCAAGCAGCTGGGACGACAGGTGCCCGCCACAACGCCCGGCCATTTTTTGGTTGCAGCCACCATTGTTGCTTGGCGGGCCCGGGCTGGGGATTCAAACCCGCCACCTTAGGTGTATGTGGCTGGCACCTTAGCCTCTTGAGCCACAGGCACTGAGCCAAACTGACCTAATCTTAACAGACTGGACATATACCACATGTACATATCAGTACAACAGGCCTAGTTCCTTATGTCTGTTATAGGCCCTTGGGTAGTCAACTTACAGAGGTTCTACTGTATAAAGAAACTACAACTAAACCAAAAGAAACCTAATGGTGAATGAAACACAATATCCTAGAAACAAAAGCAAGAAAGAAGAAAAATCTCGAAAGTCGAAAAAGAAATGAAACCATGCCTGAGTTTCTCCTTATAGATCCAGAGACACAGGCGCTCAGTGATAATGAGCAGGAGAAATTCTGCTGTAACTGGCCCTGAAGTGCCTTCCTTCCCTGTGAGCCTCAGCCTCCTCCCAGACCAGAGGCAATGTGGTTAGGAGCACTACCACCAGGGATCCCAGCAAGGTGGATCCTGTCACCATAGCACAAGGCTCAGAAAGTGCAATCTAGGGCATATAGAGCTGGCAGGGGAGTTCTTCCCCTAACCAAAGAGACTCTGCAAAACTCTGGAGGAAAAGCCCTCTCAAGCAGCCCCAACAAGAACTGTTGGGGACCCCAATAGAAAGAGATACATGATATACACCAAAACACCACAACGGAGGCTGTGGAAACTAGTCACAGGAACTACAGCACATGAAAAAATACCAGGATCTGCATACAAAACCTGAACAGGAAGACTGCTTGCTAAAGGAAAAATTTTAAGGTACCTAAAGTTTCCTGAAAAAGATAAAACATCCAACATACAACCCAAAACTTACCTGTCATACCAAGAACCAGGAGAGCACATGAAGGGAAGAAGTCAACTGACGCCAACACTAAGATGAGTAAGATGTTGAAATTACCTGACAAGGATTTTAATGTAGTCATCATAAAAATGATTTGACAAGCAATTACAAGTTCTGCTGTTTTAGAAATGAAACAATAGAAAATGTCGGCAAAGTAACAGAAGTTACGATCAAAAATGAGCCAAAAGGAAATTATAGACCAGAAAAATACATTAAGAGAAAAGTAATCATTGGATGGGCTCAACAGTAGAATGAAGATGACAGAGGAGCGAAATCTGAACAAAAGAGACTAAAAAATGAACTGTATCTCAGGTACATTTGCAACAATAACAAATGAGTCAACATTCACATCATTAGAGGCCCAGAAAGGAAATAAGAGTGGAGCTGAAAGACTAAAGAAATAACGGCTGAAAAACTTCCTTGTTTGGCAAAAGACACAAACACAACCCTGAAAGTTTCAAGAAGCTGAGCAAACCCCAAATAGCAAAAATGAAACTTTTCCTCAGGAATAAGGTAGAAATAGTCATCTTCAAACAAAGAAAAATTAAAAGACTTTCTCATTAGCAGACCTGCCTTTGAGGAATGACTAAGGGAAGAGATAAAAAATGGAATCTTGGGAAAAAAAGAATGAATGTAACAGAAAAATGGGTATACACAGTAGACTATCATTCTTCTCATTAGTTCCATAAATCATAGTTGATAACTGATACAAAATTATAACAGCATGACTATTAAAGATCACAATATTTTCAAGACATAGTTGATAACATACAGAATTATAACAGCATGACTATCAAAGATCACAATATTTTCAAGACACAGTTGATAACTGATATAAAATTATAACAGCATGACTATTCAAGATCACAGTATTTTCAAGTGGGGAAAGAGAACTAACTGAAAGCAGGGTTTCTCCATTTCACTCAAAGTGGTAGTGTTGGCATCAGTGAGATAAGTAACATATCTATAATGTAAATACCCAAAGCAACCAGAATAAAAACATTTATTGTTCTCAAGGTATTAGGGTGAGGTAGGAGGAAATCAAGACATACAGAAAGGACACCACAAATAAAGAAGAAATCATAAAACAGTTCAAGTAAGCAAGTCATCATGGAAGACAGAGAGAGAGAATAAAACAAGGAGATATAAAGTAGAAGAACAGAAAACAAATAATGGCAGAATTAAGCTCTAACATATCAGTAGCAACCTTAAATATAAATGGTCTAAATATACCAATTGAATGTCAGAGACTAACAGAGTGTGTATTTTAAAATGACAACTAAACTACAGCTGGTTACAAGAAATTCATTTCAAATTCAGCAACATAGGTCGAAAGTAAAATGATAGAAAAAGATCATGCAAACATTAATTTAAAAAAAAGGAGTGGTTACATTCATAAAAACTATTAGAAATTCTATCTTTGATCAATAATATTACAGAGCTATTGCCATGATACTCCTTATCATGGACAAAATGGGATCTTCTTTTTGTAAAGCAGGCCCTGGGCCAGGTTTGAACTTGCCCCACCCTCCACCCTACCCTCACGCACAGAGCATTTGCGTGACTGGGAATTTCTACCTCTTTCTGTGAGAATTTAGTACTCAATTTCTTAAGGTGTAAAATGGAAGTACTAATTTGTATTTTGTGATACTATCTTAAGAATTAAATAAAAGAATGTATACAAAAGGGGCTTGATATAGGTAGCTATGTAAAAGGCAGTTCACAAATGTAAGAAGTATTCAGAGACAGTAATTTTATTTTCATCACCTTCTAACCAGCAGTCACCATACTCTAATCATACTCACCAGAAATATTAGATAATCTATATCCTAAATGCAGGAAAAGCATTAGATTCACATAAAATAGGAGTTATCATGAAATAAATCACAAGATTAACTCTAAAAACTGTTATTATGAACACACTTCTGACTTTGAAAGGAGATGAGGAGTTTTGGCTTTGCTTATTTGGGAAACAGCACCTAGAGAAAAACGTCTGAAGCATAACGCACACAACTCCTTTGGTGAATCAGACCTTTCCTTTAAGAATTAAACACCTTACCTAATCAGGACAGAGTCCCTGGTATAGCCACCATCATATTCTGTAGTTTCTTCTAGTGCTTGGAAATCTAGATTCTGGAAATTCATGAAAATATATTTTAGCATATTATATACTATACCTTTACAAATGATGAATCGATAACATAATTTTTTTTGCAGACGCTTGCTTTCTTACCCTGCTTCCACATATAAGCAATTCAATTTCTTCTGGTCTGAATAAGTACTTTAAGGGAGATTCATTGGTCACCATATGAAAACCTCTACGAAAAGCCTTGAACTGTTTTTCTACTGATTTATTGAGAATGTAGTCAGAATAGAGATTGACGAATTCCTGCAGAAGACATTAACCACAAGAACTTCTTACACCATGCTGTGCACAAGTAACTGGGCTGCGTGGCTGTCTTACTTTTATTTTCCCAAGGCAAAGACATTCAAGAATATTTTTATTTTTACTATTTTTAAAAATTCAAATTTTATACATACAGAGGAAAATACTTGTTATGATTTCACAGGTCTCTATCAACCACAGGTATAACCAATACCAAACAATAAAAAGGCCATAAATGTAAAACCATTATACATAGAAATTTCAAGTGTTTAAAGAGGACTCAATATAAAAGCTGGAGCCTCAACATAATTTTTTAGGTTCCTTTAAATAGGTATACAAACACAGACACATATAAACCATTTTTTCATGTATTTATAAAAGCCAATAGGTTTAATAAAGCATAATGTACTAGATTTCAACAAACCAAAAAGTCCCATTTTCTCTACTATAAAATATTTGGTAAGCTGCCTACTATATCTAGTTCAGCAAAAAAGCTATAGTTTTCTTTGACACATTAACTATTGGACCAAGTCAAAAAAAGAAAATGAATTTTGTATCCTTAATAAGTATAATAATGAAAAAAACAATATAAGTATATATTTCTTAAAGGTATATTTCATTTTTATCATAATTTTCCTGTTATGTTCTGGGTTATTCTACTGTTTCCAGATGAACAATTTTTAGTCAAAAGAAACCCAAATCTGAAATACTACTTTTCAGAAATGTATTTATATTATAAATAGGATACGAACATCAGGATTACATATAATGTTCACTTATTCTGTGATAATTACCTTAATCGTAAGGTTCTTTTACCTCTCCAGATCAATATAAACAAGATCCTGCTTTATACCACAGCCACACAGAGCTGTTAACCAACTCTTACTTCATGTCCTCTTTCTCTAGAAGTTTAGTGCCCACTGTGTGCTCTCACACCAGCTAATATTCAAAAGTGTGGTGCTATCATTTATATGAACTTGGTTACTTGATTTCTTGGTTCTTCATAGGATTATACTAGATACTTCTTTAAAACTTACAAGCACACCTGCTTCCAAATTGTTAATAATGAGATAAAAGTGAGGATGATATAAAAGTGTGTATTACCTTCCGGTTTTCATTTGTAATTGGTATCTTATCACCATTTTCCTTTAGATCATACATCATCGGATTACCAAAAAGATCTGTCTGTGATATCTGGAAAGTGATCATCATATCATCTTCCACATTCCCTTCATACTCCAATAAATCTTTTAAACTTTGATACAGAACCTAACAACCAGAAATGGAAAATTAAAGCTAACACAGAATTACAAACACAACATCAAACAGAGTTTATATCACTCTGCTTAGAGAAATACAAAACTTTTTCAATAATTAAGGTATAGATAGTATCTTTCTTATCCCCCCACAAATAGTTTACAACCTAGAAAAGAAAGACTGTCAATTTAGCAATAGATTCCACACTTGTGCTCTGTCTCAGGTTGTGAGCAGTGTGGGGCAGAGAACTAAATACACTAACTGCAGCTATCAAGACCCTTAACCAGGGCAGCTCTGATTTCACTCGGCAATCTCAGATGATTTCATTAAAAAAACAAAAGGTTTAAAAACACTTCTCGACAAAATCAATCTGACAAAAGCTGCTTTCTGACAGTAATACATAAACATTTCCCCTTTGAATTTTTAAATGTCTGTGTCAGTAAGATTAAAACCTTTATCTTAGTAAATATAAACATCAACAAAGATTACAAACAAAACCTTTTAAATTTTTATATGAATTAAATTTCATTTTTGTATTTAAATAAAATCTACAAGACTGAAAAAAAAGTGACAAAGAACTTACTGGGTGAGAGTCTCCCAAGTCACGAAAAGTTCCTTTTTTCCCCATTAGTTTCCTGTAGACAACCATGGGGAAATGCACATCCAGTATACAATTATTGTAAATAGCCAGACCCAGTACTATTCCAATCAGAGTAAACTGACCCTCAGTTTCAAAAGAAGACGGATTAAACCAAAACAATTTTGTAGATTCATCATATGTGAACATACCTATAAGAAATGATTTTTAAAAATACATTACTATTGTACTGATGAACAAAACAAATGTAAATCTAAAACGATTACACATGTAAACATATTTCTTAGAAATTAGGTATAAAATATTTGTTTCTGTTACATGAGCACTTGTCCAAATATGTATGGTTAATTATAAATTGTGGCAAATGGTGGTATGTTAATAAAAGAAGCCAAGGAAACAGTGGAATAAGCAAGTTAAAAGATTAAAATTTGGGGGCCGGGCATACTGGCCTGTAATCCCAGCACTCTGGGAGGCCAAGGCAAGTTCACACTGCTAGAGCTCAGGAGTTTGAGACCAGCCTGAGCAAGAGTGAAACTCAGCTCTAAAAAAAAAAAAAATAGCTGGATTTTGTGGTGGGTGCTGGTAGTCCTGGCTACTTGGGAGGTGGAGGCAAGAGGATCACTCGAGTCCAAGAGTTTGAGGTTACTGTGAGCTGTGATGCCACAGCACCCTACCCAGGGCAACAAAGTAAGACTCCATCTCAAAAAATAAAAAGATTGTTATCTTCTACTACCATATATGGGAAGTTTAAATTGGCACTCATAACTTTATCTACTCCAGGGCTGAAAAATAAAACAAAAAAACAAAAAAGGCTATATATTTTAAATGTTTAACTTATAAAAATATAATTACTTTTATTTTGTACCACACATACGGTTTTAAAAACAATTTTGTATTATAATATGAAAAGTTTTGGTTTTGTTTTTTCAAAACTAAACAATGCTCCATGAAATTGTTCAACCATCTAACAAAGTCAGATGATTTCAAGTACATAAATTTAAACAAACTTGGTAACTCAGACAAAGCTGCTTAATGCACATATTAGTTATGAGCCAATAAAAAAAATAAAAGTAGTTTTGTCGTCTTTCAATTTCACATAGTTTTCACTCATCGAAACCCAACTTGGGTTACTAATAAAGGAAAACACTGACTGCAAAACTAGATACTTTGGTTTTATCACACACTGACTGCAAAACTAGATTCTTTGGTTTTACCTACCTGAATGAGATGGCATTTATCTTCTTCCTTTTAAAAAATTAATTTCTTAATGGAAAAACAGATATTTTAACTGAATTTAGAATTTTTCCATTTTATTAAATTTTTTTAGTTTTTACTATGAAACTGAATGAAAATTTTTTTAAGGATTAGGTCTGAACAAATCTGTAATTTCTAGAATAGAATTTAGAAATGAAATAATAAGCATGTATTTTAAAATCAGTTTGTAAGAATTTTAAAAGCTTTAAAAATGTTCCTTTCACTTTTAAGTTAAAACAAAAAGAAACATTATCTCCTTGTTCACTAAGAGGACACATTAACCATGAAACAATGGTTTAAAAATTATCTAATTCATACTTAAATTTCAGTTTATAATGTAAACAATTTTTACAGATCAAGTTACACTATCAATGGATATGCTAAAAATTTCATATAGTAGTAACAGGGTCAAGAGCAGTTGAAAAATAATTATAATAAATAAAATGAAATATCATAAATGCATATCTTTAGTCTCAAGAGCAATAAATTAAATTAATGAGAATACAAATTATATAGGTCATTACTTTCATCTCTGTCATGACCCTTGATTCTAGGTAATGCATACAAATGCCTTCTTTTGCTGTTCTTCATGGCTAAGAATACTTATAAACCAAGATAAACAAATGCTTAATTCAAAAAGATGGCACCACAATCACCTCACATATACTAACCAATATCTGGATTGAAGATTTCCTCCACAACCAGCTGGAAAAATTCTTTGGAAACACCTCCCTCATCGACTCCTTGTTCTCCTTCAAATTCCACATACAACTGTTTCTTCAAGTCTGCAGGATTTTCCATAGCAATCATCTCTAGCTAGTGATGGAAAAGATAAATGTAAAAAGATGATGACTGCCAGTATCAGGATAAATGCAAAGTAGGGGTAATAAGCAGAAACAAATAAAAATAGGAGTAGAGCTAGAGAATAAATAAAAGGTTTTAACTTTTTCTTTTTAAATGGAAACAGGAAGCAAATCAATTAAAAGACAGTAAAAACAAAGATTCTGTTTCACTGATAATAAAAAAAGCACCAAAGAAATCAGCATAGTAACTTTACTGATATGATATGAAATTAACATACAGCAGAAAATCAGAATTACGATTTTATTACTTATATATAACAAATCTGGACTATACAATACAGCAAGGACATGAGAAGAAGTTAAAGACAGAAAAATACCTAAGTCACTACTCAAGCTAAAACATTTCAGCAAAAATTATGGAGCATAAAAGTTTAACCTCAAAATTGTTTACAGAAGTCCTTTGTGTTTACTAGAATAGAAATTCTAGAATTAAGTGTTAATACCTACTAAGTCATAAGTAAAATCATTTCAAGTAAGAAAAATACATTAGATAAGCATGAAAATAGTTTATGGTCTCTGACATTATACTAAGTAAAAATCACCATTTTTTAATGGATTAGAACCAAGCAGGTGAGACATACCCTGCTAATGTCCTCAATCTGTTATCACACCTTAGCATCTACTATCTCTTCAACTATAAATCTTTTACCAAATACTTTTGCGTCTCTGTCGAATTGACTAAGCAGTGACTGACTTCAACTGTTGTAAGATTAATCATAAAATCAACACTAGATGCTAATGTGAAATATTTATACTATAATTTGTTGTTTCACATAGTTGAAATTTAGTAATAACAGTATGCTTAATTATCTCTCGTATCTGCTAAACTACCTCCAAATGTGCTGACTAGTTAAAAAAATTTATCTTCAAGATGGAAATTTGTCAAAATAGGACATTTTTTAAAGATTATTCAGGTTACTTCAATTATTACAAAGGTAATTTTAAAAATAGTTTTTTTTGTTTTGGTATGAAAGGTCTTTATTGGAGGGGGGGAGGCTGCAGAGCAGCACCAAGGAGGAGAGAAAAAGAGAAGAGAGGAGAGGAGAGAGAAGAAGGAGAGAGATGAGGAGAGAGTGGAGAAGAGAAGAGAGGGAGAGTAGAGAATAGTGAGGGGGCAGAGGGGAAAAAGAGCAAAATAGTTTTGAGCAATGCAGTCATCACTGGAATAAGGGTATTATAGTCCTAAAGTAATCACTATGGGTAATAATACTCATTTAGCATTCTGATTTGTCTATAAAAACATAAAATAAAATCTCATAAATACAAGAATCAGGTCAAGTTGTCCTAGAATAGATCACTGTTTTTCCAAACTTTCAACTACAACTCATTAGTGGATAGTCTAATCCTTTTAACAGTCCACAATTGACAATTGTTGGGTAGGGGGAAATACAGAATGCCCTCTGTGTAGGAAGGGAACCTACTGTTTTCTCAAACTTTTGCTTCAATTAGATGTAAAGATAAATATGCATATGTGTACTGGGGTGTTATGTAAAATATTTCTTCCTAAGTTTGCAATCAAAAAACTGGCTGAGGTTATCTCTCCGAGGTATCTTCAACTATGGAGGTCCTATGATTCTGTGAATTTAACCTTTTGCTTTAAAACAGTGTCTGTTCTTGTACAACAGTGGTCTCTAACATTTTCAAAGTCATTTTTAGGCCAAGTTATAGTATAAGAGATATTGAAACAGCATTTTGTCATGGAAAAGATCAAATCAGGACATTATTCCTTACTAGTCCCAAATGTTACTTAACAGAACTTTTAATATTTAAACTTTGGCAAGCAACTCAATTAAGCCTCAGTTTCCTCATCTGCAATGGAAAAAAAAAGGTAACACCTTTCATACTATGAAGTTGTAACGGTTTATTAAGAATATACAGGAAGCTGGGTGTGGTGGCTCATACCTATAATCCTAGCACTCTGAAAGGCTGAAGCAGGTGGAATGCTTGAGCTCAGGAGTTTAAGATTAGCCTGAGCAAGAGTGAGATCCCCATCTCTACTAAAAATGGAAAAACTACCTGTGGCTAAATAAAAAAGAGAGAGAGAGAGAGAGAAATAAAAGGAATAAAAAGAAAAACTAGTTGAGCATTGTGGCAGGTACCTATAGTCCAGCTACTAAGGAGGCTGAGGCAAGAGGATTGCTTAATCTCAAGAGTTTGCAGTTGCTGTGACCTATGACGGCCATAGCACTCTACTTAGGGTGACAGAATGAGGCTCTGCCTCAAAAATAAATAAATGAATGAATGAATGAACAAATAAAGAAATAGACTATATGTGTGTGTGTGTGTCTGTGTGTGTATGAAAGAAAGGATTCTTTCTGTAGAGCAAGCAATATTATTAAGATAACATCATATTGTTACCTTTTAAAACAACTTCGCTCTCCGAACAAAAGATTTATAATTTCATGTACCCAAAGGAAACTGATCATAGACTAGTTGCAAAACACTACAGTCAAATAAATGTAGATCTGAAAATAGTCTTACAAGAAAAAATTAGTTCTAGTTGGAAAAATGTTTCAAGGTTCAAAGTATATAGAATTCTGATGATTAAAATGAGGACTACCATTTTAGCTCAAGTATAACCCATTCTTAGTTTTCTTTTCCCAGTTCTCACTTGGGAATTAAAGGATAGTAAGCAAATGTTTTTATTTGCCTTTAAGGTAAACTTGCCTTTATCAAATACAATGTATTCCAAAATGAAAAAAATTATTATTCCACATTTAAGACTATTCATAGCTTTTCCTCATTAACATTCATAAATAAGAGCTAACTATTATCCATGTGAAACTCTTTAGAGGATTTTATGGAGAATTTCTATAGGATCGAGAAGCCCCATGTATTAGCTGATCTTAGCTCCACCTAAGACATATTGAATAATAGCTCAGGCAAATTTATCTTCATTTGTAGTAAGATATTTTCACCAATCTCTACACTATGCTATCTTGAGTGACAAAAGGAATTTAATTGATATGTTCTATATGGCAACTCTAAGCATGTAACTTTACCTCTCTTTACTTTCATCTGTATAAAAAAAATAGAAATAAATAAGATATATGCATATGTAGATGAATTCCCTGCACAAAGTCAGTGCATATTAGGACTGGCTGTTGTTGCTATTATTATTGCCTTATTGGTTCTAAAATTTTTTCTCGGCTTATCTGCAAACCCAACAACCATGACATTATAGAACAAAAATATTTCATGAATAAAAGTAACAAAAATATGTTGCACGTATGTAGCACTTTCCATATAGCAATTAATCTCATTAATCTTCCCAACAACCTTATGAGGTACGTGATATTATTAATTCCATTTTGCAGATTGGGACCCTAAGCTAATAGAAGGCTACATAATTTCCTCAAATCACAGTAAATTGTGGAACAGAGATTCTGATCTAGGCAGTAAGCTATAATGCTTTACTGACTCTCCAAAATGACAACCAATCATTTTTTTTTATTATAATTGTGTTCTTTATTTTTTTTTACACTTTTTATTTAAGTTTTTCACAATAAATATATATTACTTTTAGAATCACAATGTATTCAAATACAAACATGCTAAAGGAATGATAGTTGGTAAACTCCCCAGGTGAAAATCTCCAATTATTATCCATTTAGATTACCATTCTGTTATAGATAATAATTTTAAAAATATAGCATCATTTAAGAATACATGGGTAGTCTTTTTCAAAAAATATTTTATTTTCAATTGTGGTAACAAATACAATACACAAAATTAAGCAATAACCATTCTGACAAAGGTTATTAACGTAACGGGATGCATTTATTTTTATTTTTCTTAAAAATAGCAATCTCCAATACATTACCCAAGAAACTAAAAATGATCTAAGAACTAGACTGTAATAGTGTATCACTATATATAGTAGCTGTATCATTTAAAACTGAATTTCTAAAATCAATAGTTTTTTAGATACTGTAGGATATTTTGAAATTGTAGGAATATGTCAGTGAACGTTCTGAAAAGGAGAATTCATATGCATCCCTAAATTCATTTACTATACAGATATGGATTTTTATATATAGGTATGTCTTAAAGTAGAGTATATTTTGTAAAACTTTAACATAGAGATGATCAAAAGATAGATTACTGAGAAAAAATAAACAAAAATAGACCGGATGTAATAACATCTTCCTCTTCTTCTTTTAAGGCTTTTATTTTACTAATTGTTGGATAAAACAATTTTCAATTTCACAACTTTTTAATTGGCCACAATGATGAAAACCTAGGGAGATCATTTTTAAAACTTGACCTGACATCAAGACATTCCCAGAATAATCAGGTAGGATATCTCAATATAAAAATATCATATTGCCAGATTTACAAAATTTAAAAAGAGAAACCCTTATATATATAACCACTTATAATCTTACAGTATTCTGAGCTGTCAGATCAAATCCACCATTACCTGTAATTGAAAAGAAATTCCTTAATGGTATGAATATTTAAGTAGAAACAGAACTCAGAGAAAAGAGAACTCTCTAATGCTTAAGAATGCCTAGGATCTCTAGGGATAGCTTAAATACTTCAGTCACCCCTCTATGATAAATAGTTTTTAAGTGAGTAGGCATAAACCACTGATTAGAATGGAATTTTCAGATCATCTAGATATATTTATGTTTTCAAGTTCTCACAGACCTGCTTCATTCTCTCATGCTAGTTCTAATAAATTATTTTGAGAACATAAACCAAGTACAAAGTTCAGCATTTCAGTTAGCATAAACTGTATGAAACAATGCTAATTACATTAACCACAATATTGTTAATATATCAGATACAATTAAACATACCTAGAGCAGCAAAGAACAATCTCATTCTTGAAACACTGTAGGCCAATTAACACGTGAAAGAATCAGGTTCATGTTTCAATAATCAGGTTCTAGCATCCAAGGAAAATGTTGGATGCTAGATTAGAGAGTGCTTTAGAATCCAGTGAATTTCAGAGGGGATGGAGCAGAACCTCTGGGTAGTGAGGCTTTTCATCTGTGCCAACATCTTTATCTGTGCTAGTTCTATATTTTGAGTTCTCTACTCAGTTCTACATCTCAGACATTCTTTTTCGTTTTTAAATATCTACTTGAAATTCTAGAACTCCCTGGCTAATCAGAACCAAGTTTCCTTTCACACTGTGATCAATCTTTATTCTAAGTTTCTTGTCCCCATGAACCTTTTAAAAATGTGGCAGTTTCCTAAACATGTACTTATATATAAAAATGGCTTCAACATATATGTATATATACAAACTGAACCAACAGCCATCTTTCCAAATATTGGTTTGCAGCCTGGCTTTGTCAGAATGTTACGGGAAGTACAAATTCCCCAGCTTCATACTAGAGCTCCTAATCTGAATCTCCCTAGACCGGTGATGTTTAACTGGTGTACCATGAGAGATCTTTGGTGTGTTATAAAAATTTTTAAAGATCATTAATTAAATTATTTTCAAAAGAAGTTCAAAGCACAGTAATTATATATTTTTTTGCTTTTTTTTTGATCAACATAATTTAAGTGTGCCACAGAAATTTAACTACAGTTTCGAGTGAGCTGTTAAATAAAAAAGGTTGAAAAACAGTGCTCTAGAGTGTAGAATGCAGGGTGTTCTTATCTAGAACACAGGAACTTGCATTTTAAACAACTTTTCCATTTAAATGTGAAGGCAATTTTGGGCACCTCATAAATGGCAATACTGTCTTCCTCTACTCAAAAATTAATTCTTAAAATTTTTATATATATTACCTCTTGGAAGTGCTTTGTCTAAGAAAAATACAGAATTATCTGCTTGTAAAAGAATATACAAATGGATAAATATGTAAAGACCTTGTCATATTAGGATCATTTACATTCAAATGAAAGCTGAACTTTGAGCTCACAATTATCACTATACTATTTTCTAAGGAGTAACAACAAGAAGTAGTGAAAATAAGATCTAGGGAAAATATTCCAGTAACTTAAGCAGGGATGGGATAGCAGTGTTCCTAAGTGATTCTGAGGTGTCTGTTTGTGAAAAAACACCTTCTACTTTATAGAATCTAAAATTTACTTTTTTTTTTTTTTTACATTATCTCTGAAATCAGAATATACCATCCTACAATCCTACAACTAGCTAGAAGCATTTTTTCTCCTTCATAGTAATAAAATAATAGTGTGGCCTACAATCTGTTATCTTCAATTCAGTAAAGTGCTATATAAAGACTAATTCTTTTCAACATCAAATATAGTTTCCCTAAAAACTCTAGTTAGGAAACAATTTGTTAGGCTAGTTTGAATTTCATGGTACATGAAAACCAATGAACATTCTCTTTTTAAAAAAGCTAACAATTATTAATTCAAGTTACTATCTATCCCTTACTCTTCCTCTAAGCTAGTCAGTCGCTCAATTAAGTGAAAAATAAGACCCACTAGAAAATGTACTTAAGTGTGTCATGTATATAGCCACTGTCTTTTGTATAAAACTTTTTAAAGTAAGGAGTAGACTAAGGATCCTTTTAGCTCGTCAAATCTAGAGTGCTATAACGTTAAGTGTTAATAATGAGCTCACCACAAAGCTTCTCATTTCTTCTCTGCCCAACAATACCGTGTAGTTCAAAATTATCAGGTGGTAAGAAAGTGGTCAATAAGTTTTTGTTTGTCAAACTGTGATAGGTAGGGAAGAATGAGGCTTATAAAGAAAACTAGATCATTGGAACAGAGGTTGAAAAATTCATCAGTGCTGCACAGGAGAAAATGACCTTAAACCACTTTTTGCTGTAAACCTACTTTGTGCTACTAAAAATAATAAGACCTTATCATAATTATTAACCTGCTGGGAATACATATTTCAAAAAAATATGCAGATTATCTATTTGACTTCTAAGACCTAGTCTTTTCACATTCTGTTATTTAAAAAAGAAAAAGAGGAAAAGACAGGGAGAAAGGAAGAAGGTTATGAGTAAAATCTGGCTGGTGTGAACAAGTAGCCCCTAAATAGTCAGTGGGCGTCATCTCCATGGCTTAACAAAGGGCCAGACACAAGGACTTGTGAAGTGAACTGCTTTTGTAGACTTGCAGTACTCAAGTACAGATACTATCTAGCAAATCCTTAATTATAGGAGGCCAAAGCACAATATGCAGTTTTGAGATAATTAAGCAGAATTTGGTTAAGAAAACCAAAACTGTTAGGATAACCAAAACTTCAGTTAATTTTACTCTAACATCTGCTCAGAAGGCTTTAAAACCTGAAAAAGTTGTTCGCTAAACATCCCAGAAGATAACTTTTAAAAACAGAATAAAGCAAGCCATACGAGCACCTAAACTTTTGCTGGTTCTTACCTAGCCTTGCTTTACCAGGGAAAAAAGGAGAGGAGGAAACTAAGCCAAGGAATACTTCTGAGTAGAGGGCAGATAGAGAAGGCAGATAATTTTTAACAACTCTGGAAATGAATCTTACAAAATAATTTCATTCTTTAAAAGCCAGGGACAGCTTTGATGACAGAGGGATCCCATTCCAAGAAGGTAAACATAAAGTGTGTAGTTGTAGCATTTGTAGTTCTCAAACAATGGATGTTTATAGACAGACCTCAACATACTTTTCATAAAATACCAATCACATTCTTTTAAAATACCCTACCCTTCTGCTCAACTATGGAAAATAAAGTGCTGGCTGCCACATGATTAGTCATTAAGTGGTTCAAAACTAAGTGGCACCAGAAAGTCAGCAGTGATAATTACTTCCGGCAGTTAAAGCCCCTTTCTGTTTCTAATGACAAACTGCCTTGAGTTACTTAAATAATGAAGACTCTTTCTTCAACACTATAAATATATTTGACATTTAAAAATAAAACAGTAACAAAGAAAACTGCCACAAAATCTCTGTAACTTTTAATTTCTGAAATGTCAAACTTTTTCCCACTGGGTAAATTCTGAGATTTAGACAAATTTCTTCTAAAACTAAAATGTATTTTAAAATAAAAATCATCTCCCAGTTGTATCATGGGTTGCTGTCTTTCACTAGTAATTTTAGCTGATATTAAATTTTACTTGAAGTTGATAACAAATAATTAACAGTGCTACCTAATCCTGGGAAATTTTGTCACAAATACAAATTTTGGTAAAAAGTGACTGGTAGTAGATTTCTGTCTTCTGGCCAGTCCTGCATTCTTAAAAGGGCACAGTAAAATTCTTACCTTCTGTGGAGGAAAGGAAATGACAAGAGGCAATCCTGTCTAGAGAAACAGGAAGTTTAGAAGACAGGTAACCTGCCCAGTATTTTCCCAGCTCAACCTCCCTGAATTTGGTTGAGAACACTGGCACCATTAAATCCCCAAATTCTTGGAGTAGTTGCTATTTTTCTCAGAAGCTCCAAGACCCACAGCTGTCCCTCTGAATATTTAAGTGAGAAGAAACTATCACAACCAGGTACTGCCATCCAGGCACATTGTGAGAAGCCAACAGGAACTCTTACTGGCAACACATACTGACTTCATCAAATTCACAATAGTAGTACAAGTCTGAATTTCCCATGATGGGATTTTGCAAATACTACTTAACCTTTTATGGCAGTACCACTTTTCTCAGTGTATCTTCACATCTAATACTTCACATTTCTTTCTGTGGGTTGGTCTTTCTCCAACACCCTCTTCTCTTCTGAATGGAGAAACTTTTGGATCTAGTTTTCAAGATTTAGAAAATTCATTCTTTTTCAAAGAGAGAGTGATCATTTTATGAGAAAACCAATACTTTGTAAAGCACGTTTATAAATTAAACGAAAATATAATATTTATATTTAGGATCAGAAATGTTCGCATATTCCTATATGATACCATTTTGTTTTCAGTCACTTATGAAATGAATTCACTAAACTGTAATACAGTATTCCCGTCATGAGGCTTTTAATCTAGGATTTATTTTAACAAGCGGCCCAACTTACCCGGACAAGTGCATCATCTATGATATGGTCACGTCTGACTTTGAGTCTCAAATATGGATTCAACTGCTGTCCTTGAACTAAGCTGTAGAGAACAGTGATTCTTCGTTCACTGTACATGCGAATTCTGTTGTCATAATATAATCCCAAATTCTTCGTGACAGCATTCAGTATAAAGGGACATGTCATAAAAGAGAATTTGTTCTCTGTTTCTACTTTGAAAAAAGTATAATCCTTATCCATTTCTAGAACATCATTCAGAGGTTCATTAATAAACTCTTCAAAAGGGATAAGTGGTTTTCGGCAATCCAGAGTTTTAACACCAAGTTCAGTTTCCAGTGGGTCCACTCGAGGACCTTTCTTGTTTCTTCTTTCCTCTCCCAAAAGCTCCTGAAGTGTCAGTTCACTGGACTCAGGAATGGGCTCTTCATCATCTTCTTCATTGTGATTTGTGTCCACATCCCCTCCTACTACATTTGCATAGTAAACCATTTTCAAGCACTTCGAAGCAGCAACAATAGCATCATCATCATTCACTAGATTTCGACTGTTAAATTCATTGCTAATGACTTTGTAAGTAATAAGTTGCTGAAATGTTTCCATCATTCTCCGAATCTGATCTGCATTGTATTTAGACCACAGTCTAATCAGTTTTCCTTGGGCTGCAAGGGGTAGCTTGCTCATTGCTTTGCAAAATAATGGCAAAGCCATTTCCAGATATTCAGGACTATGGAGATTTCTATTCTCCATCACAATAATGAACAAATTCAAATAGTTAGGATCTCGGGAGTACACGTTGTGATATGTCAAGTCACACTCCACATTAGGTGACAAATACACGAGTGCGTTGAGAAAGGCAGTTTCTATTTTTTCATTAGAGAGCAACCTTGTGTAGACTCTTCTAATAGCATCAATATCCACAGACACATCATCAGGGCCTAATTTTTGTAGATTGTTGTCTCCCTGTGAGCTATCGCCTACTCTTGAGGAAGAAGCTTCTGAATCTTCCTCCATAGCAGCGGCAGAACTTGCAGCTTTCTCCTTTTCATCCTCATCTTTGTCTTCATCCTTTCCTTGAAGAGATTTTAACTCTTCCTTGGTGTGCTGCTTGACTTTCCGAAAGCTCTGGACTAGTGCCTCAGCACTAGAGAAAACTCTGCCAATAACACGGATTAAAGGGGAATAATCCTCTCTCTCTCTACATATTTCAAGAATTTCATATACCTTCTCTTCTGTTAGGTAAGTCACATCTAGAAAATCAGAAAAAAAGAGAATGGTTATTTTCATAATATGCATGTTTACTTTGTCGTCGTAGTTCTAAAAGTAAAATAGCCAAACATTCTAGAGTCACTGTCATTTCTGAATTATAACTCTTAAAGAAAAAAAGTACATAATAGTTAGATCCAGCAAACCAAACATAATGTTTATCTATTTTTATCTGTTTTACTTCAATAAACTACTAATACCAACAACCTCACTCCTTCTTTCAACAGTACATAGCTTTTAATGAACTTTTTAAAAATAAGGTCATGACAGTATAAATTCTCTTCACAATCAAGGTATCTATTAACTTTATCTTTCACTGATGAACCCCCAATACATCATGTGGTAATTTATCATGGTATATTTCCTGCAACCTCACTGAGGAAAGCCCACTATGCTGTTCTCAAAAGACTAAGAAGGCAAAGTTTTAAAAAAAAGGTTCCTTTGACACTTCCTTTTGGAAATGGCTCTTTTTCTACTTTGTTTGTACTAAAAGTGATCTGGTTCTTTTCAGGTCCTCCGAGTTTGTTCTGGGGGCCATTCTTCAGGTGATTGAAAAGAATATGCCATTTCTTTAAGAAATCTTAAGCTCTCAACTTGAAACTACTATCTGTAGCCAGGGATCAGGTAAGAAAGACCCTTAGAGTGACAGAAAATTTTTTGGCAATGAAAACCAAATACAGTAAAACCTCCATAGTTTATCACCTCTGTAAGTGGACCTAGGCACCACATGTACATATCAGTACAGAGGCCTCTTGTTCCTTATGATGACCACCTCTGCGTATTAACCAGTTTGTTACAGTCCTTTGGGTGGTTAACTTACAGAGGTTCTACTGTAGTGGGAGGAAGGCAGTAGACAAGCAGCATACAGACTATGTAATCAGCAAAATCCATTTCTTTTTCTTCCTAGGTACAAAGTTTGATCACATTCCCAGCTTTTTGAAGTATTATTTTCAGACCAAATTTTTCCCCTCTGGTTAACAGATGAAAGATATTTTATTTTACAGACAAAAACAAATGATATGCTTTATGCATTACATTGCTAGAGATCATATTGGTCAAACAACATAATACTGAAAAGTCTTAATCCATCCCTTTCATATCAATAAAGGGACAGAACTGTCATCATTAGATCAAATACTTAAACACTTGTATCCCAATATGGGGTCAGGGACTGAAACTATGACAGTTTGTTTTTGCATATTCTGTTGTCTCGCTTAAACAGATGTATATAAAAAAAAACCCTTTGGTGGGATCAGTTCTAACCCCACCACCACCACATTGGGATATGACTGTTTAAGCAGAAGATAATTTCAGAGGCACGTAGTCAATTTAATCTTTCTTGTGTCAAATACACCTACTGCCAAACAAAGTTTTTAATATAATTCTTAGCTGTTTGAATAATTTTACTTGCAAGCAAAAAACAATATAAAATGTAAGTAATCATAGAATAAATAGGCTCCAAAAGCTAAACCACAAAAATACCAAATTTTATCCTACTACTAATTTAAGCTGTGGCCCAGCTACAAGAGTGCCAATACCTGTACAGTTGCTTTTTTTTTTGAGCCCTAACTCTTTAGGAATTAATTCTCAGGTTTGTTCTATTAAGAATATCTAAATATCATTAGTTCAACATCAGTCATCTCTTCTTAAAAGGTACAAAAACACTAACAGGAAACCTATTTCTCATTATTTTAATTGGAAAATGTTATAATACCTTCTTTAAAAAATAATGCAAAACCCCTACTCTCCTAAAGTGTAACCAAAACACACAAAATGCTATCATAAATAACTTCATAAATAACTATCCTATTAGTACATGAAATATGTCACTTCCTAATCATCAAATCATAAATGGGCTGTTAACAAAGACTTCGTCTACATGTTATAACAGAGCCTATGTTACGGAGATCAACATTCTTAGATGGGCAATTTTCTTTTTTTATTTTTATTTTATTTATTTATTTATTTTGAGACAGAGTCTCATTATGTCACCCGCTGTAGAATGCCATGGCATCAACAGCTCACAGCAACCTCAAACTCTTGGGCTTAAGTGATTCTCTTGCCTCAGCCTCCAAAGTAGCTGGGAATACAGGAGCCCACCACAATGCCCAGCTATGTTTTGGCTGTAGCTGTCATTATTGTTTGGCAGGCCAGGGCTGGGCTCCAACCCACCACCTCTGGTGTATGTCGCTGGCGCCCTAGCTACCAGACACCGAGCCAAGACTGGTGATCTTCAACCAGTGTGCTGTGGCACATTGGTATGCCATGGAGGATCTTAGATGTGCCATGAAAATTTTTAAAGATCATTAAATTATTTTCAAAAAAAATTCAAAGCAGAATCATTATATCCTTTTTTAAAAACTTTTTGATCAACATAATTTAAGTGTACCATGTGTCATGAGATGAAAAAGGCTAATAAACACTATCTAGAGCCATATACCCTTTGCTGACATATTGTGCTTTCAAAACATCTTGAAATGATTTGGACAGTGTACTAATCCAATCTAGGATTTATCTATACTTTTTCCACCAAGTGTTCTTGTTCAATGTGCTGAGTTGAGTTTTTCAGATATACAGAGGATGCCAAAAAATGAATATGCTTTTAAGAAAAAAAAAACTGTATTGAAATTGTAATTCTCAGTACATATCAATACAATACGCCTCTTGCAATTTCAGAAGCAAATGTGACTTGAGTGTTACAAATTTAACATAGTTTTTCCTTTCTTAAAATGTGTGTATATTTTTTGGTACCCTCTGTATATTCATGTGTATATATACATATGTCCCAAAACACAGGGATGCACACATTCATCAAGTCTGATTATCAATAAAAAAAAGATGCTCTAGTGAGAAAACATTAAATGAGACATTTTTGTAAGATTTACTTCTATATTTTGTAATAAACGTGTGTTCCTGAAACTATTTTTTATCAAAAAGGGGGGGGGGGTCATAAAGACTGAGGAGAGCCAAATAAGAGCCCCTAAGATGAAGCAATAGCCAAAAAGACAATTAATACATAAAATACGTATCATATTCCCCCATAGCTGACTGCATTCATCTGTGCCAGCCCATTCTATGACCAGCAGCTGGTACTCTGTGGTGAACACTTGCTAGAGAAATGAGCAGGCTCATGTCAATGCAGCTACCACGTTATACAAAGGGTGGCCATGAAGTTCACGCGCAATTTAAAATTGCACACTATTTAAATTGCACACAAACTTCATGGCCAGTCTGTATATTGACAACATTCATTTATTTATCCAGTGTGTGAACTAATTCATGAAATAAAACTAAACTTTTTAAAGCAACAAGGTTGTCACAAGTGGGACTGTGTTTTAGCCAAAGTTGTCACAAATGGAATTGTGTTTTGGCCTCTATTTCCACAGTTTGTTTCCACGGAAAGTCATAAGGTTTATGGCTTTCTAAGAGTTTTATTATTTTATCACTTTAAAAATTAGCATTAAGGCTTGGTGCCTGTGGCTCAAGTGGCTAAGGCACCAGCCACATACACCTAAGGTGACGGGTTCAAATCCAGCCCGGCCCGCCAAATAACAATGACAGCTGCAACCAAAAAATAGCCAGGCATTGTGGTGGGTGCCTGTGGTCCCAGCTACTTGGGAGGCTGAGGCAGGCTACTCGCTTAAACCCAGGAGTTGGAGGTTGCTGTGAGCTGTGATGCCACTGCACTCTACCCAGGGGGACAGCTTGAGGCTCTGTCTCAAAAAAAAAAAAGAAAAAAAAATTACCATTAAGAAAATGAGTCTTTTTAAAGGATCAGTCCAGTTTCTTTTATATAACCATCATTTTGTTTCAATGGTTTAAAAACACCTGATTTGTAGTTAACACAGATTATCTATTTGGAATAAAAAGTTTGTTGCCCAAATCAACCACATGGGAGATTTCCATACTTTGTGGAAATGAAGAAGAGGCTAAAACACAATTCCATTTCACTAATTTATTTAAATTTGATTCAAATGTTACTGAAAATTCTCTAAGCTATATGTGTCTTAAAGAAAAGGCTTTCCCTTTTAAAATACAATTACCTCTGGTGAGGTTAAGCCCTGGTAGTCATTTGGAAATCTGATTACCTTATTACTAATTACTTTCACTGAGGGAAGAAAAGTTTGAATTTAGAATGGGGAAAAAAAAAGGTTCAACTATTCTACAACATAGGACCCTTTAGAAAAGATGTGAGCCAAGAATGTCATTTGGTAGGTCATGATCCTTGGCAGGATATGGAAAGAATATATTAGAAGAAAAAGTAGAATTATCTCTCTCATTACCATTCAAAATTTTGCCTTGCCTTCAGAAATTGTAAAAAAAAATTACTGCTTCCTTGCTGATTTCACCACAGTCCTTGAGTTCCAGAACTCATGCCAGACATTTATGAGTCCAGCTATTCCATATCTTTAAATAAACTCTGTGGCTTAGTTTAGGAGGTTAACTACTACTTAATACTTTTTTACTAGGCAATATTTTCAAGTTCCAACAATCCATTAACAAATGAACTTCTGTAATATAATCTGCTTCTAATCAGCAGTCACTGGACATGTAAAATGTAGTTAAGTCATTTATTCAATATTCATTCTCGTCCTTTACCACAATAAAAAATTGCTTACACTGTACTATGATGTCCTAATATCACACAATAAGGAAAACCAAACATAAAAACTCAAATTGAAATCTTTAGTATTACTTTTAGCCAACAATTCTCAATTAAAAACAGAATATCTTACCTTTAAAATCAACTCTAGCTCCTTTCTTGTTCATTTTTATCTCAGAGCAGGAGTTGTTAGGGCCACCTTTTGAGTTCTCAAGGTAAGCTGAGCTTGCTCCTTTCTTGGAAGGATGAGGATCACAGAGTTTTGCATTAATCTTATAAAGCTCGAGGGCTTTAATAGCTGCTGCATTGTTATCCATACGAAGAAAAGTTGGACAGGAAGCACAAAACTCATTCGTGCAGGCCTCATTTCCACAGCCCTCAGTTAACTGGTGGTAGTAGCGTTCTATTAGATGCTTTGCAGCTGCTCGCTTCCTGTACCAAACATTCAAACAGTAAGCACAGAGATTAGTACAGCTCTAAGTGAGGTACAAAGCTCAACAGATGGTCAAGGCAGAGAAGTTAGTCAAGCAATAAAGTGATACATGTAAACCTGCACAGTAAGACAAGAGGTAGAAAGTGAAGAGTCACTATTTACTCACGAATTTTGACTAGTGACATAGTTCACAAATATTTCCCAAGATATTATAATAAAGAAAGTCACTGCTTATTAAAAGCACTGTTTTAATAGAGTATGCCTTCCTTTTTAAAAGGGTTAAGAATTTGGATCTCTTAAAAAAACACAAGGTTTATGGCTTTTTAAGAGTTTTATTATTTTATCACTTTAAAAATTAGCATTAAGAAAATGAGTCTATTTGAAGTATCAGTCCAGTTTCTTTTATATAATCATCATTTTGTTTCAATGGTCTGTAAACACTTGATTTGTAGTTGACACAGAATATTTGGAATAAAATGTATGTTTTCCAATTCAACCACAAGGGAGAAATAAATTTGGGGCGGCACCTATGGCTCAAGGAGTAGGGCACTGGCCCCATATACCAGGGATGGTGGGTTCAAACCCGGCCCCCAGCCAAAATAATAATAATAATAATAAAGAAATAAAAATAATTTATAAGTGAAATATCCAAAACTAGATAGTGTTATACCACTAGAAAGTACCTTCAAAATATATAATATTAAGCCTAAAACTTTTACAAAACATCTTCATTAATTACATAGCATAGGAATATGGGCTACTTTAAGTTCTGTTAGGCAAAATCTTATTCCTGTTACTTGTAAACCTTAAAGTACAATTATGGGTGTTCTAACAGAACAATTAAGACGACTAAGGAAGGGTTTATTGGAACAAGAAAAAACTGGACTATTCAACTCTAAAATTCCATGCTAACTGATATGAGATTACCATATAGTAATTTAAATAGACTACTACATCCAAAAAAATGTCATAGCCATTCATTTGGCCCCAAATTCACAATGTGAAAATAAAAACTACAAAGAATTAAAACTGTAAAAAAAATACAACGCACCTAATTTTCAAAATATTCATATAATTATCCTTCTAATGTAGGACTAAATGGCCAAAGGCAGTGGAGTTAGAATCTTGAGAGTCATGAGAAACTCAACAAACTAACAAGATGGCAAATAAGCAGATAAGGGACACATTAGTAAATCTAACTTTGTCTCTAAAATAGGACTTTGACTCTAAGCTGGGAATGTCCAGCTATTTTTTTTCCTGCCACATACTGGAAGAATAGAAGTTGTCATGTCCTCAACTAAAAACACAAACACTAAGAACAGCTAATGAGCAAAAGAAAAGGTCCGTGCAAACTTTCTGCAATATCTAACACCAACAGATAAGCAAATCAGTCCTCAAATAATATGCAGTGCAGGCTGTAGGTTGGACACTCCTGCACATCAAGATAGCTGACAAGGAGTGACAGCTCCAACACATTCATTATGGTGCTTGTATTTCTCACAAGTTCCATGCAAATTTACTACTCATTGCATGCAAACAGAGAAAAGAACACACAAAACACACTTAAAATCAGATGAACATGATTTCAGAGATATTTTACTATATTTGTAGCAATATCAATCCCATCTTTCAAAATTAAAATTACTCCAAAGGTATCATTAGGCAAAATATGAACATGATAACATGTAAAGAAAGGGATATGGAGAATCTAGATGATTTAAAACATATATTGCTATTCTTCAGTTAAAAAACAGGGGACATATTAATGCCATGTTCTCCCAAACTACCTTAAATTTCCTCAGTGAGAATGCAAATAGCCACTTCCTTTCTGGAAAATAATTATGAATGTGTGTGGAATAAGACAAAGTTGTTTAGGCCTTTTTGCCCACACTTTTACCAAAAGGTACCACATTTTCTTAAATAGCCATAACTGTACAGGGTGATATCATTACATAAGTGCTTCTTGGCACTTTGGCACCAGTGCTCCCCTAAGTACACATGTGTACAGACCTATCTCTTGTTAGCTCCCATGCCTGCTCACCAGCCACTGAAAGCTGAATACAGGCATGTGCTTACCCAGGCCTAAGTTATCCTTGGGCCTGATCAAATAGCATCATTTGTATTACAACATGTATCAAAAATGTTCATAGAAGATTACTGAAATGAACTGATAAGGAGTTCACACAGTTAGGCTGGGTGTGGTGGCTCATGCCTATTATCCTAGCACTCAGGGAGCCCAAGGCAGGAGGATCCCTTGATCTCAGGAGTTTGATACCAGATTGAGCAAGACACTGTATCTACTAAAAATAGAAAAATTAAATGGGTGCTGTGGCAGGTGCCTGTAGTCCCAGCCACTTGAGAGGCTGAGACAGGAGAGTCTCTTGAGCCCAGGAGTATGAGGTTGCTGAGAACCACACTGACTCCAGGGCATTTTTAGCCTGGGCAACAAAGTGAAGCTCTGTCTCCAAAAAACTAACTAAATAAATAAATAACTAAAATAAAGATAAACTAAAAAAGTTAGAAGGGAGATTTATTCAGGAAGAAGAAAAATGAACAATTTCTTTAAAAAATAAGTTCACACAAATAAATAAAAATTACCAAGATCTGAATTTGGGATGAACAGTCATCCTAAAACATCACTCACTGACAAAAAGAATGAACCCACTGTTGTTTCAAAGTGTTAATAGTCATTTTCTCTGGGCGATGTGAAGAAACAAGTTTTAGGATTTCTATCTTTTTGCTTCTAATTTATTTTTCTATAATAAGCATGTTACTTACATAATATAAATTAATAAATATGGGTAAAACATTAGCAGTTTTAAAACTTCACATACATGATTTGAATGACTTCAAAGTTTATGAAATTATCCCTATGATTTTGAAAAGATTAAAGCATCCAAGGTCAAACACCAAAAGAAGATTTTTGAGACAGAGCCTCAAGCTGTCACCCTGGTTAGAGTGCCAGGGCATCACAGTTCACAGCAACCTCCAACTCCTGGGCTCAAGCAAGTCTCCTGCCTCAGCCTCCCAAGTAGCTGGAAGCACAGGTGCCCGCCACAACACCCATCTATTTTTTTGGTTGCGGCCATCATTGTTGTTTGGCAGGCCTGGGCTGGATTTGAACCCACCACTTTAGGTGTATGTGGCTGGCACCTTAGCCACTTAAGCCACAGGCGCCAAGCCTAGATATTTTTTAAAATAACTCCAAACCTGTCATATACATTTCTTTCTGCACTTCACAAAGGAGGAGTGTAAACTGCGCAAACAGAGTAAGATTGAAAAATTACAAGACCCGCATTAGGGGCCAGTTCCTTCTAAGTAGCTACATAATCCTGAACGAATAATTTTCCAGACCTCAGTTTTCTACCTTGAAGTCTTTTGAGTTCTAATTCTCAAGTTATTTTATATAATAAGGAGGTAAGCTAGAAGCAAGCACTTATTGAATTCCTGATAATATACTACAGAAACTGCCAAGCTTTGAGACACAATTTGTCTCATTTGAATCCCATGACCTTGAGGTCACAGCCAAAGAGAGAACAGAAGGGAGAGTCAAATCATGCACCCAAGATCACAGAACCAAGACAAGAATAGGAGTCAAGAAGTTTTTTAGCTTCAGAGTCTAAGTCATTTCCACTATGCTTGTACTATTTTGCAGAATGTGACTCATTCTCAAATAATAAATTCTTAACATTATCTAGTACTAAAATCTTTTATGAAAAAAACATAAATAATGTGCACTTGAGAACCAGTAAAAACCTTTTTAAAAATCTTAATTTGAACCTCACATTTATGATTGACTGGTACCACACAGGTAGACTAAGTTTCTTGAGGAAATGGTAGCACTGTGTGCTATAAAGTTAATATATCTCTAATTTGTTAAGCACCAGTGCAGCAGGTGCTTTATACATATTCCCACTTTAGAAGGCAACAAACCTTTATGTTAAAAGTGTTCATGAGGCCAGACTGTACACATTTACATACTAGTTCTGCCTCTTATTAACTATGTGACCATGAATGAGTTACTTAGCTTTTCTGTGTCACAGTTTCCTTGTCATTAAAATGGTGGTGTATATATAAGAATCATCAATTTGAAAGACTTAAATGTGTCTGGCACATACTAAGCATTATGTATGTGTTAAGCCTCTATGACTATTGGTGTAATTGTTATTATCACCCTCATAAGTAATATGAGTTAGCTATATTAACCTCCAATCTGCTCATACTTAGAGAAATTACATAATGAGTCAGGAAGTCATGCAAATAGTAAGAGATCTGAACCCAACTTGACTATAAAACTTGAGTTTTTAATATCATTAAGGGATTTAAGAGTAGCCCATTTTATCTGATCTGCTTCTGTGCGCCAAGTTTACAAACAGCAGGTACAATGATAAAGGACCATAAAAGGCCATACCAGAACCTCCACATAAAAGGTAGAAATGGCATATAAAATTTATAGCACATAAATAGCCTCTAAGTTGGAAAAGTATATACTAAAACTGATTTGGGGGTATATTTCCTCTTCAAGGTTAATCCCTATGATCAAAAGTGTCATCATCACAGCTCATGAGTCAAATCTAGCCTATCATCTTGTTTTTACAGCTCTCAAGCTTAGAATGTAAAACAAATTTACATTTTTAAATGGCTGAAAAAATCTGAAGAATTATATTTGATGCCATGTGAAAATCACATGAAATTCAAATTAGTGTCCATAAAGTTTATTAGAACAAAGTCAATTTCATTCATTCACATATTGCCTATGGCTATTTTTCTACTATAATAACAAAATTCAATATTTTAGGGCAGCAAAGCCTAAAATAAATACCACCTACTGTAGCAGCCCGTATAGCCTATGGCTAGGAGGAATGAGAGTTATAAGAAATACCTGTATAGCTCAATAATGGAACACCTTGGTGAAAAGGGTGTACAGAAGGATTTAGCTCTCCTAACAAGCATGAGAGCTCATGAGATGAGAGCATTAGTGAACTGGCAATCTTTATAC